CTCATGTCCCTGGCAGCGGTGGGGCTGTTACTGCACAAGCACACACCGAGCCCAGGGTGGCTTAACAGCCTCCCCCTGTTAGCCTCTGCTTGTCGCCATCCCTGGGCAGGTTTGCTGGTGCTGGGGATGCCCTCGGAGGAGGCAGCGGGATGTCTGGGCAGCAGTGCCTGGCGCGGGGTTCAACACTGGTTCCAGCTCTCCCTCCCTTCCCCGCGGCAGGCTTTGAGTTCGATCGCTGGCTGAACACGCCTGGCTGGCCCCCCTACCTGCCCGACCTCTCGCCAGGGGAGCAGCTGATGAAGCCGGCAGAGGAGCTGGCAGAGCTCTGGGCAGCCGATGGCTTGAACATGGAGGCGATCAAAGCCGTGGACATCACGGCCTGGAGGACATACCAGCTGGTCTACTTCCTGGATCAGGTCCTGCAGAAATCCCCCCTGCCAGAAGGTGAGGGCCAGGTCACCTCCCGGGGCTCCGGTGCCTGGGGGAGACGGGGGGGACGTGCCCCAGTCCAGCCAGTTGGCCGGGGCTGTGGCCACGTCAGCAGGACGCGTGGGTGTGTGGCCATCAGCCCATCCCTGCTGCGGTCCAGCGGTGCAGTTCCTGGTGTCTGGGAAGCCTCGATCTGTGCGGTGGGGAGCAGAGAGCCAGGGGAAGCGTGTCCCTCGACATATGGGGACACGTGCAGTGGCAGGGAGGAGCCCCACTGTCCCCAGGCTGGCTCCGCTGGGCTGTCACCTCCCCGTGTTCACCTCTCCCACGTTCTTTGCTGAGAGACCTCCCTCCCCTTCGTGCTGGCCTCCCAAGCTGTGTGGGGCTACCTGGCCCCAGGAGGCCCAACACGGGCACCCTCCCACCCAGAGCCAGTGACTGCCTGGGATGCTCCCAGAGCTGGGGGTGCCGGGAGGCTCAGCGGGGTCCAGGGCTGGCCTGTGGCTGGGATGATCCCGGAGGATTTGCAGCACAGCGGTGTAGGCTCGCAGGATCCCCTCGGAGCAGGGACTGGGAGCTGGAGGCAGAGCCCCTGCAGGGGTGGTGATGATGATCCCCCTCTCACAGGCAACGTGGAGAGGCTGAGCGAGATGTACCCGAAGATCTCCCAGGCCCAGACTGCCGAGCTGCGACTCAGCTGGTGCCAGATTGTCCTCAAGAACAACCTTGAGGCCGAGTACAGCAAGGTCAAGGACTTCCTCCACAGCCAGGTTTGTCCCTGGGCAGCAGCGGCCGCAGCCGGCAGCGTGCCATCGGGGGGGAGAGAGGCACAGGGCCCAGAGGGCCGGGGGCTGGCTCTTGCTCTTGGTAGCCCCACAGAAGGGTTTGGGTTGGGGGGCACCTTCAAAGGTCATCCAGCCCACCCCCCCCTGCAGTGAGCAGGGACAGCTTCCACTCGATCAGGGTGCTCAAAGCCCCAGCCTGCCTGACCTTGAACGTTTCCAGGGGTGGGGCATCTACCACCTCTGGGCAACCTGTTCAGCATCTCACCACCCTCATCGTAAAACATTCCTGCCTTATGGCCAACCTAACCTGACCTCTTTCAGTTTAAAACTGCTGCCCCCTCTCTTGTTACTACAGGCCTTGGTAAAAAGTTTCTCTCTGCCTTTCTTACAAGCTCCCTTTATATACAGAAAGGCCGCAGTCAGGTCTCCCTGGAGCCCTCTCTTCTCCAGGCTGAACACTCCCAACTCACTCAGCCTGTCCTCGTAGGAGAGGCGGTCCAGCCCTCTGACCATTTCCATGACCTCTGGACCTGCTCCAACAGGTCCATGTCTTTCTTGCACTGACCATTTCCGTGGCCTCCTCTGGATCCACTCGAGCAGGTCCGTGTCCTTTTTGCACTGGGGACCCCAGAGCTGAACGCAGTGACGCAGGGGGGGCCTCAAGGGCAGAGCAGAGGGGGAGAAGCTGCACTTCTTGTGACGCAGCCCAGGGTACGGTTGGCTTTCTGGGCTGCAAGCACATGCTGCTGGCTCACGTCCCGTTTGTCACCCACCAGTACCCCCAGGTCCTCCTCTGCAGCGCTGCTCTCCACCCCTCCATCCCCAGTCTGTACTGAGGAGGGGGGTGCCCCGACCCAGGTGCAGGACCTTGCACTTGCCCTTGTTGAACTGGACGAGCATTGCATGGGCCTGCTCCTTCTCCAAGGTCTTCCCCCGTCTCCAGGCAGTGCCAGGGGCAGTGTTTTCCACCCTGTCCCATTCCTCCACACTCTCTCTGGCCAGCAGCAGGGTGCTGCTGGAGGTGCTGTGCCTTGGGGAGGGGAACGTGGGGCTGCTGGGGCTGGGGTGTAACCCCCGC